AGAGCAAATACTAAAGGACGTTTTGGAACATCCTGACATAAGTGCAAGAAACCTTTCTTTGCGGTATAATCTTAGTTGCTTCACGATTCTTCGAATTCTACATGAAAACAACTTACATGCTTATCATATCACCAGGGTACAAGGACTCATACTTCATGATAAGATTTCGCGAAAAGCATTTTGTCATTGGTTGCTTTAACAGCATGCCAACGATGCAGAATTTTTGTTAAAAATTTTATGGATCGATGAAGCGAAATTTACAAGGGACAGCATGTTCAATGTCCATAACATGCATAATTGGCAAAATGAGAATCCTCACTCTATTCTTGAAACACGTTTTCAAGTAAGATGGAACGTAAACATCTGGGCTGGCATAATCGGACATCTAATTATTGGGCCATATTTTTTCGAAGGAAATGTAACGTCAGCAGCATATTTCGATTTCTTACAAAACAAACTACCGGAATTATTAGAAGACGTACCACTGAGAACTAGAGGAAATTTAATTTTTCACAAGATGGTGCACCGCCACATTTTAGTCGTCATGTGATAGATTTTTTAAACCAACATTACCAAGGCTGGATTGGTAGTGCTGGAACAATAGCCACCACGCTCTCCTGATCTACAGTGAGATCCGTTATAACGAGACGTGATAAAGTGCACGCGTACCGAGCGAAAATTCAAAGTCGATTTTCTCGAAAACAAAGCCTCAAACGAAAAATTTTTATTCTATATTTTCGACTTCTTTTTTCGCGTAGAATCACTTCCTTTCCGCTTGCACCACCAGTTACCAATCACCCTGTATAATCATCATCAATAATTATAGTAAGTCTAGATATTTCTGTTGTTTTTAACATGATGAAAAACTGTGTGTAATGTTTATAGAAAGAGATGGTAAAAGTAATATTAAATTGTTTAAATTATATTTTATGATGGCATATATAGTCTCTTTCGAAAATTGTATAATAGATCTATATTGTTTTAATTGTGTCATTATTTTCGAATATATCTCGAATATTTCTTGTAGCTATTCATGCTTTTTTTAATGAAGAAATGTTTTTTTTTTTACATGCTGCCATCCATGTGCGTTTTATTTTAGATATTGTTAGAAACAACAGAAATATTTAGGATCATTATATTAATTAAAATCATTCTACATATAATTATATAGTATTTAACATAGACAGTGTTGATTGATTTTTGTGTTTGAATATTTATTATTATATGAATGCAATATGAATTTCAGGTGATTTATTGGAAAAAAGGAAGTTACCGAATGAAACACATAGTTTTCCTAATATTCATTTCAATTTCTTTTCCTGGGAAAAATTGTTTAAACCCAATCCGAAATTATGATCAAATAGTATTTAAATAATAGTTATCTATAGTAAGAATGTATAAATGATTAATGGAATGATAAGTAATACATTGTTGTCAAGCAATTTAAATTTGAGATGTATGTAATATGTAATAAATTTACTTCAATATAATATATAAAGTAGTTTTATAAATATGTGTATTTGTGTAGAAGAGTAGATCATTTCTATAAAAATAAAAAACCTTCATATTCGTGAAACGTGAAATGAATAGCGAACGGTATTGTATACCTACTATACACCTACTACTATATACCTATGGTAAGCTTTGATTTATTAATTAGGTACAATTAGACACCCATCGGATAAGTCGGAGAATCTTGTTCATCCTGTACTTACCGATGATGCGTAGGTTAAGATAGCGTTGACGGTGTCCCTTAACAACACCATCAATTCTCTGTCCTGGAAGACTATATTACCATAGACGGGTTGGGCGTATTTCAACTTCGCGCCCATGGATGCCGAGCCTAGTAGGGCACCAAGCCGAGTATGGATACATAAATAAAAATTATTTGACATATATCTTAGATGGGTTATCGGGGTCTGTCTTCGGGAATAGAATATCTCGGCCGGAATGGCGCATTGCATCGGAGAGAAGTGTCCTATGGAATACATTAAAGATCGGTGCTCGGGCCAATTCTGTAGAACTTGCCATGCGATGTCATCTTGCAGGTTTTTCCACTCACAGGTACAAGGATCACTGGCGGGGAACCATTCAATAGTCGGGACTCGACATGGTTCTCCATTAAAAAATCAAAGCTCTGGGTGGATGAAACGTACGTCAAGATAGGGAATTGCAATTCGCGGATTCTATAGGGTCAACAGTTGATGAAAGAATATTAGCCCGATCTTACTTACTGACTCTTAACGAACGCGATGCGAAATTACATGATGACACTTTTCGTGACGTCTTGCAGACGTCTTCTGTATCAGGATTATGATTTTTCGATTCTTTATATACCATAAAAATATCAAAATTTCATGATAGGGATGGATCATGAATTTATCATATGCATATATGAATATGATTTATTATTCACTTACGTCTTGGAGCTTCAAACTTATATGCAAATGTGCAGTTGTGGCTAACATGGTTACTTCCAAATTTTTGTTGTATACATTATACATATTATATATTTGATATATTAAAGTATAGTTGATGTAGGGATTGAAGTTGTTGTTTCTTATGTGTTTTATTGGGATGACTTCTGATGTGGAGCAAAAATTTCTGTTCTTCATTTTTTTGTTAGTTTTGGGTTTCAGTCTTATTTAGTAAATAAGGAAGAAAGAAAAGTGATGAGACTTACCTAATGTAATTAAAATTGCTCAAGATTTAGTTCCGTACATATATATTACAAATCTTGTAATTTTGATAATCTTGTGATGAGGTACACTATAATATCATGGTCTATCAAACATGATATGCTCACACGTGGTATGAATGATTTCTATCTGTGGAGTGCACTAGACTAAAAGCGCAGGTTTTCGCTCTGTGGTGGATGCGTATATAATAACAATTTAAATAAAAAAAAGTACAATATTTTATTATAAAATACGAAATATACTCAGGATAGATTTTACATATTTAATTTCATATATTTAGAAAAAATAGATATCAATACGTTTTACGGAATCTAAAGTATTTCTATACTTTTACATCCTCATTTAAATTTAGCAAGAGAGATTTTTCAATTATAATACTTCAAAACAGATTTCATAATCATTTTCAAATTCTGCAAAGGACAGATTTTAAATGATAATATTGGGAAACAAATTATATCTTCTGTTTCTTCTCCTTTTAAAATACTTTTATTATTGTAAAAATTTTTACACAACCCAAAAATGATAAACAATAAATAAAATGTAGTTACATTAAAATAATAGAAAGTAAAGTATAAGTTCATTCAATTAAAAGTTTACACTTTAATAGTTTGAGAAGGTAACAGTAAATAGTTTCATACATTGTATACATTAAGTTATGAAACTTAGAATACACATTATATAGAAGTTATAATACAAGTATTTATATGTATTTTAAGTGATTTATCAATGAATGAGTAAACTTATTTTTTTTAATATTATTATAAATTTGTCATGCATTTATTTTGTATTATATTACTGTTCGAATACACATTCCATGAATTTAATTTGTGTGCACACATATACAATTTTATATTGCACGTATATTAAATGTGTTAATTCTTACATTAATTACAATATCTATTTGTACATATACGGATGCATACATGCGCACACAAATTACTGTTGAAAACATTAACAAATTTCATGTTTATAGTCCTAAGATTATAATATAAAGAATACTAGAATTAAAAAAAATTCAAACAGGTATATTGTAAATGTTATAAAAGAAATAGTTATAATATCAAACATTAATTTAATAACAATAATACACAAGCAAAGCTCTGGACATAAAAGTGAAATTGGACATTATGGACTGTTTTGAATCAAAAAACAAATAATTAAAAAATGTATCCCACCACTTTTATACAGACATTCAATAATTTGTAAAATATTTCTGTAAGCATAAATTTATAATTTATAATTGTATCATATCTTGAAATAAATTTATGTAAAATTCACTTTATATGTTAATTCATATAATAAATATTTTACAAATTTTAATTAATATTTCGCTATGAAGGCATTCAATTTTTGGATTCGGATTTATATTTCTTTAAGTTCATCTTTCCTGCTATATTTTTATGTGAACATATATAATAAATATCTTTTATTAATTTGATATCTTCAAACTAATGCTTTATTATCTGGGAACATAAAACATTATAAGCAAATAGAGATAATCAAATATTTTAGTTTATTATCATTAATTTTGTTATATCACATTCTTACAGTGGTATCTGTTACAGAAACAACTGAAATTTATACATTATGAATATTAATAAATGCTAATAATTTAAAAATATTATTTGTAAGAATTAAATTCTCACGATAAGATATAGTATTTTTTCGTTTATAATATTTCAAGCAGTAAAAAGAGTTACTTGAAATGTAAGCTGTAATTATCAGACATTATTTTTTTATAGACTCATATGTTAAACATTTTATAAATTATCTAGTTTATGCAAATAGCCATTTTTGGATCTAGTATTTTTCATTTCCTAATGTATGTACAAAATTTTTTCAATACAGTTTTTATAACTACTTAGGACAAAACATGAAATTGTTATCATTGAGTTGTCACATAAAATACAATATATTAATGGCTTAATATGTACAGCATTTGTTACTGTAATTTTCAAGCCCTTCCATAGGGACTGTTACTAAAATATCGTAGAAAGCATCAATATCTAACACTTAAAAGACAGGATATATTTTATCGTTATAACTCTTATTAGGACAGAGAAACACAAAAAAATAAAATAAAATTAATCTTTAAAAAATTAATTATTATAAGATAATTTTGGCATCTTTGCTTTCATTTTATTCTATGCATTGTTTATAAACTTTATTTTCTAAATATATACAAATTTGTTAATATTTTCTGTGCATTTCATTAATATTTTCTACGACTTTTACATATTTAGGTTCCATTACAACATACATAAAATAAATGAAATATATTTTGAAATAAAACATTTTCAATTAAAAAGAATATAAGGATTTTTTTATAAAGATGTAATACAAACGTCTTCAATTCATTAATTTAAAGAAATTTCTTTACTTAACAATTGTATCTTGTTGTGTTGGGAACAAGATAAATAAAATCATTAAAACCTTGTACCACTATATTAAACTTGTCTTCATCGCTTCATAGGCAGTGGCATATTACGTTTCATAAGGTATATTTCTAATTATTCTTGACCAAAACCTTCTGTTTCTTCAATTGCATAGTTTAACTTTTCTACTAGTTGATCATAACTCTTATATGGTGGTAAATCCAATCTATTGAAGCATGTATGTGATCTAGGTAGCCATGTATCCTTTCCTACTTTTTCTATGCAAAATCTTTGAGGACCATTGCTCCCTAAAGAGAATAAAAAAAGAACAAAAACAAAAAAGATAACAAAAAATAGTTTCAAATGTAAATCATCTGATTTCTATAAATTATTTCATATTTATTTAGTTATTGATGTTTACTATTTACCCATTAGTTCTGCAAATCCTCCAACAGGTACTCGACAGGTACCAGTTACAAATTGCAAAAGTCGAGCTCGTTTTTCACTATCTGTTCTTGTTACAAACTGAATAAAATATATAAATATAATAAATGATATATATACTAGATAATATCTTACAAATAATTTTGTATGCATAATAACGAACCTGCCAAAACCATAAGATTTGTTTGCTATTTCGTGTATAATGTCTATAAATTGTATTACGTTGCCAGTCTTCTACATCTATTTCTTGCATACCACAGAGCATAAGTTCTAATTCACGTTCATCAAAATATTTCAACCATTCCAATGGTACAACCGAATTGAAACCTTCCAAAAATGCTTTAGTTTGGTCCTCTATACCTCTGGTCATTCTCCATTCTGTCATTAACCTTATATAGTAATAATCAATGAATAATTATTTTTTAAGATGTAAAATGTTAATATTAATTATAACAGTACCTAATATATTCTTCTTTATTATCTTCAATAACTCTAATTTTGTCACCACCCTCTTTTAATTCATGATGTATTACTTGACCAAGAATTTCAAAATCTACACTATAATACAATTCGAGACCACACTCGTCGATATTATTTTCTTTTATCCACACAAGAGATTTATAGAATTCTGGATCAATAGATTCTATATCTTTCATAACCAATTTCTTATTTAACATACGTTTATAAAACGGCATAGTGAAACCACTGTAGATAAACCGTCCATGATAAAGAGCCTACAATTAATGTATTTATATTTATTATATATAACATATTTATATATACAGGGTGGTTGGTAACTGGTGGTACAAGCGGAAGGGGGTGATTCTACGCGAAAAAAGAAGTCGGAAATATAGAATAAAAATTTTTCGTTTGAGGCTTTGTTTTCGAGAAAATCGACTTTGAATTTTCGCTCGGTACGCGTGTACTTTATCGCGTCTCGTTATAACGAATCTCACTGTAGATCGTTGTCTCGATTGACGTTATGTAGATAAACACTTTCAATGTGACCGCAGTGTTTTCCTACCTATTAACTTACTATCCGACTTTTATCGCTATCCACTATCAGTACCTATTAGTCTACCATCATGTCTACATACAGCAATCGGGAATATACGGACATGATACTTTCGTTAGGTGCGTGTGGTGTTAACGCATCAGCCGCAGCTGATCATTACAGACACCGGTATCCCAATCGTCGACATCCTGACAGACATGTTATTCAAAGAGCAGAACAAACCCTCGGCGAATATGGTTCTTTTGAAAAACTTAGACGACATGTATATGTAGTATTATGTCTTTTCACATTTCTGTGTTTGATCTCACTTTTACGTTATAGTTGTAGTAAGGATATGTACAAATAACATGAATTTTTATATTATTTCGCTAGAGTAAAAATTAATAGGTATAGACTAAATTACGAAAAGAAATCATGTTATTGTTTAATTGTGCGGGTAGTAGAGTACGCTGTGCATTTTAGTCGTATTTAAAAATTTTCATTATTGTTGTAAGAAGCAGATTTGTTGTAAGATATTATTTGGACTATGCTGCATTCAGAGTTATGATTAATAGTGAGTGATCTCCTATTGCAGGATTTGAATGCATCTGTTGGAGAAGTTGAAGGGAGGAGGCGCACACGTAGTTCAGCACGAGGCCTAACCTCATCAACACCTGTGCCATCTCCACCTAAAAAAGAGAAGAGGGATACATCAACAAAAGGCACTGGTCGTGGGCGCGGGCGTCCTAAACGGCAAGAGAAAAATAATGACAATAATACAGATGAAGAAGCAGCTAACAATAAAAGCGAAAAGCATTCTGAGGAAGAATCTATGAAAATGGACGTGGATGAACACAAAGAGGAAACAGAAAAATTGGCGGATAGCGAGGACAAGAGTGTTGCGAAAACTGAAAGTAAAGAGGCTTCTGAAAAGGCGCTTGACTCTAATTTCAAGGAGGAAAAAGTTACAGAAGAATCGGAAAGCTTCGCAGAAGAAAGCAAGAGTTCTAGTGTCAGTGAAGAGAAAAAGGAGGAAGACATAAAGGATAGCTCGGATTCGAGTCAAGATGCAACAGACACAACAACAGAGGCACCACCTTCATCTTCATCAGAGTCTCAAAATCCTTCTAATGCTACTACTACAGAAGAAAATAAGGAATAATAACGCACCACAGCTGATCATTACAGATACCGGTATCCCAATCGTCGACATCCTGACAGACGTGTTATTCAAAGAGCAGAACGAACCCTTGGCGAATATGGTTCTTTTGAAAAACTTAGACGACATGGTGGTCGTCGACGACGCGTTAGTGTAAATGTTGAAGAGCAAATACTAAAGGACGTTTTGGAACATCCTGACATAAGTGCAAGAAACCTTTCTTTGCGGTATAATCTTAGTTGCTTCACTATTCTTCGAATTCTACATGAAAACAACTTACATGCTTATCATATCACCAGGGTACAAGGACTCATACTTCATGATAAGATTTCGCGAAAAGCATTTTGTCATTGGTTGCTTTAACAGCATGCCAACGATGCAGAATTTTTGTTAAAAATTTTATGGATCGATGAAGCGAAATTTACAAGGGACAGCATGTTCAATGTCCATAACATGCATAATTGGCAAAATGAGAATCCTCACTCTATTCTTGAAACACGTTTTCAAGTAAGATGGAACGTAAACATCTGGGCTGGCATAATCGGACATCTAATTATTGGGCCATATTTTTTCGAAGGAAATGTAACGTCAGCAGCATATTTCGATTTCTTACAAAACAAACTACCGGAATTATTAGAAGACGTACCACTGAGAACTAGAGGAAATTTAATTTTTCACAAGATGGTGCACCGCCACATTTTAGTCGTCATGTGATAGATTTTTTAAACCAACATTACCAAGGCTGGATTGGTAGTGCTGGAACAATAGCCACCACGCTCTCCTGATCTACAGTGAGATCCGTTATAACGAGACGTGATAAAGTGCACGCGTACCGAGCGAAAATTCAAAGTCGATTTTCTCGAAAACAAAGCCTCAAACGAAAAATTTTTATTCTATATTTTCGACTTCTTTTTTCGCGTAGAATCACTTCCTTTCCGCTTGCACCACCAGTTACCAATCACCCTGTATATACACTATATTATATTTAGTGTATATTAATTTCATTGATTTTATCAAATATAATATTATTAACAGTAGAAATTATCATACCATTGCTATAAATCTTCCAATGAATTTAAAATATTGTAAATGATCAGGATTGACATAAGATGCTGGATTGATTTGTAAGCTATAATTACTCTTGTTGGCATATTCAAATAAACAATACATTGGATTTAATACTTCATGACTCAACAGGAAAAACCATTCCCTGAAATCAGAATTTGTTTAATTTATTTTTATTCTTACAAAATAAAATTTTTTCCATGGAATTGCTGATTCAATTCTTACCTTGATACACCTCCATAATCTAACCCTTCTTCCCCTTTAAATATGATATATAATCTGCGCCTCAGTGCAAAAGCTTCTGCATTCATTATTTGATGATAAGAATCTTCAAATAATGTCTGTCGATTGACACTAATTTTTATATGATTCGGTAATGCATTAGTTTGACACAAGAAGCGAAATTGTGATAATTTCCATCGGAATGATCTTTCATATGCTCTTGGTACACGATAAATACCTTTAGGACTAAATAAAAATATAGTAGTGAAGAACATAATAAGGCAAAAAGTTAAACTAGTAAAGATTGATTAAGAAAGATTACACAAACCCTTTAGGTGCTCCAGGCCTTGGATCCTGAAATGTAGTTGTTCTTGTATTATGATCTACAAAATATCGAACTCCATCTTCAGTTAATCGCATTTCCCAGCCATCTGGTAATGGTGGTTCATCAATTCCAGTTTCTTGTCCTTGCGTTCTTGGATCCTCCCATTGTGTAGTACGATTTTTATGATTTACATAATAAACTCTTCCTTCTGGTTGTTTACGTCTCTCCCAGCCAGCAGGTAATGGTCCCAAAGCATCATCATCATCGATTATGGATGATGTTGATGGTCCTGCTATAGCTGCTTGATTTCCATGTGCCTATATATACATATTAAATTTATTTCTATATTAGATTTGTTAAATATCTATATTTTTAAAACTGTAATGTAAAATATAAATAAAAATAAAATTATATATATGTTATAATTATTTATTACTTACTTGAGGATAAAGAAACCGTTGGTTACCTTGTTGTACCACATGCTGTCTTTCACCTTGCCAGTGTTGAAAATGTTGTAATCTTTCTGTATTTGGTATTTGCCATGTTGTAGTTCTTCTATTATGATCTACATAATAAATTCTGCCTCTTGGATCTCTACGAACTTCCCATCCATGTGGCAGAGGTTGTGGTCTTTCCCAAGAAGTGCTTCGTGTCATATGATCAACATAATACCTAATTAAAAATGTACCATAAAAAAAAGAATATTATATATTTTCTAAAAATGTAAAAATTGAATAATTTTTTAAAATAGTACAACCTTCTCCCATACATGTCATATCTCATTTCCCAACCAGGAGCTAATGGCTCTTCAGAATGATTTGTAGGACCAACTTCAGCAAGTACTATTGAAGATTCAGGTTGAGTTGACTGACCAGGTATCATAGTAGTTTGTCCTGTTAATGGAGCGACCCGTTGTACTACTCGGGAATTTGAACGAGTAGTTGTAGGATTTGTATATTGTTCAGTACGAGAAATTCTACGTGCATCATCCAAGGATAATATCGAAGATGGGTCTGAACGTGCGATTCCACGTCCATCTGTCATAAGAAACACTGTAGGTTGTTCTAAATGAGAACCATCCGATAAAGTAAATACTACAGATTGCTCTGTTTGAGAATATCCCTGACTATCAGTTAATCCAGAATTTCTAAGTTGATCTACTCTAGAAACTGTACATCCATCTACTAAAGAAGTAGTATCTTGATCCGTTCTCATAGTTCCATAACTATCTGAAAGAGGACCAGTTACAGATTGTTCTGTTCGAGAGTTACGTTCATTAGAAATAGGCTGGTCTGTTCTACTATGTGAACATATATCTGTATTAACTACAGTTAATTGATCTGATCTAGGTATTCCAACTGTTCCAGGTAATACTGTTGATTGTTCAAGTTGAGAAATATTACGACTTTCCGAGACAGAAACCTTTGGAAATAGTTCTGTACATGTACCAAATCTTCCATCTACTATACCAGATGTCGATACATGCTCTATTCGAGACATTTGACGTCCATCTGGTAAAGATCCTGTAAAACGTCCTGGTAATGTTACAATGGATTTGTCTGCAGGCGATATTGCGTGCCCATTTGATAATGAATGCGATGCAGCGGGCTCAATTTGTTCATTATTCTTATTGGCATTGGCCTGTTTACTTCCACTACTATAAGTAGAGTTCTGATAAACATTTGGTAATGTTCCATGAAATGTAGATGATGCAACATGTTTAGGTTCATGTAATCTCATGCGAGCACGAATCCCTCCATTAAGAATGCTACTATTACTAACAGCATCATTATTTGAAACACCTAAAATATGACTATGCTTGTACTTAAATTAAGAACAATTTCATTATTTATATATATGTGTATACATAAGATATATAATTAGAATATATAAAACTTGTTTTTATTATACATACAGGTGCACAAAAGTTTTATGTAATTTATATTATAAAATTATTCTGTATGGTTTTTTATTTCAGAAATCTATCACTTATTAAATACATAAAAACAAAACTCAGCATGTATGTTTAGTTTATATTTAAAATTATTCAATCATTTATATTTTACTATACATTATAAAGATATTTCAAGTTCAATTTTAAATAACTTAAAAAAGAAGACAACTCCTTTCATTCTTCCAAATTGAATAATGAAAAAATTTGTGTATTTTCTGATACTTTATTTAAATGCGAATAACACTTACTTTAAACATATTTTATTATAACAAATAAATAAAATATAATGATAATTTCTATACAGATGATTGCAATATCTTAAAAATAATTTATACTTTAATTTAGACATATCACATTTGCATTTTGCTGTAAATATTATTTATTCATTACTAGATGTTTACTTATTTCTCAGTCTGTTAGTTCTTCCAAACCTACACTACTAATTATAAAGCAATAAGAACACCAACACTAGAAGTATCTTATATGTATATGTATGTAGCAAATATGTGTAGAATATGTAGAAAATATATTTTTTACGAAATCGTAATATAATTATCTATGAATCCCTATAAAAAATTGATTACTTAGTGATTCTGAAATATTATACTGCAAATTCAAAGCCAATCATAGTATATCATACTACACTTGTTAATTTGATCATCATTGAAAAATTATCATGAAGTTCTGTAAAGATGTGATCACATAATTAAATATTTTAGATGTATGTGTAACAGTGGAAATTAAATAACCCTATTCCTTATAAAATTAAAAGTAAGAATGCCCCTATTTAAAACATTTAAAGTAACTAACTATTCCAAGAAGAGAGAAACATTTTTAATATCTTGTTTCATTAATTTATTGATTTTTAAAAATTAATATAGATGCTTTAAAAATTTTATTAAATTCTATAATAGACAGCTATATTTGAAATATCATATAATGTCATATAATGACATACACTACACATATTAGATCGCCCGAAAAGTTTCTTTCGTTTTATAAGGAAATAATGGATGCACAACATTTTCCGTTTTATAGTATTTTATCGAATTACGTATGATCCATTTTGTTCTATCAAAATAAAGATCACAACGTTCGACAGATTAGGTTTCATGTTTGTATAAAGGTGCATTGTTGTAAAAGACGTGTCTGTAAAAGAAAAACACTTTTCAGACAACCTAATAATACTTATTTAGATAATACTCATTATCCTGGTATTCTTTCCTTAAAATTTTGTAAAAATTTCTGTCTCATTTATCATTAGTTAAAAATTATTTATTCATTTATTATTTAAAGATTATTATATGCTTGATCTTAATTTCTTACCATCATAAGGCATACAGCCAGATTGCGTCTGACACGATAGTGATTCATTAATAGTTAGTGATGACGTATTTGGCATGTTAATTCTTAATCCATCAAATACTGTAATCAATTCTCCAACCTTACATAACTGAGAATCATGTTTATTTTCAGTCATTAAATCAAACGTTACTTCCATATTTTCTAATTTCCCATTATAATGAGATAATACTTGAGAAAGACTTATTTTTTTTTCTCCAATTAAAGTATCTTTTCGGAATGTACTGTGATCTAACAATCGAAAATGTAATTGCGAATATGGAGTTACAAGTATTGTAAATTCCTCGTTCCATTTTGGTTGATATGTGGATTTTGAAACTTCTGTCTTCCGAGGACTTTTATCATCAACAGAAAATTCAATGTAAGGATTAGGCTTTAAAAATGTAGAACTTCTTAATATAGCACCTTCAACTAAAATAATAAAATTTTATTATATGTACCTAAAACAGTATTAATATTTAAGAGTAATATTATATAATTTGTTTTTTATGTATTTTTCTAACAATTTTTATATGTTTAATATTTATCTGGTAAGTAATTAAAATTAAACTACATTATACTGTAAAATTATGACTGTTAAATTATGTAAATGTAAAACCATGTACATGTATATACACATATTCATATATATACTACTATGTATAGATATTTGGACACTTCCTATATCCTTTAAATGCATGAATTGTCAAAACTGAAATTTTTATATTTTGAGTCTATTCTCTGTTCTTATAACATCCACCAAATTTTGTCTTGATTGGACACAGATGGTGCTTGGAACTTTATCCCAAATAAAGTTCTTTAATTTAATTTTTATCTTTGATCCTAGTACAGTATCTTAAATGTAATTAGTAGAATATGATAAGATTAGGGTAGGATAGGTAGGATGAAAAATACTTCGAGAGAAACACTTAAGATAGGCAACTAAGTGTATCTGTTCAACATTGAGATTTTACAATAATAATGAGAACAAGTGTTTCCAATCACATTTTAATAGTTTATGTATACTTTATGAAGATTCATGTATTTATTACAGATAAATGTGGAACTTGATTGATACATGTATATTCCTTGTTTCAGTTTTAGTTTAGCAGAACATTTGAATTCAGTTATGACAAGAAATAAAGAATTAACAATAGAGAAATATTCTCCTATCATAATGTTAAACATATAATAAAAATATCTATGTTCAGATTGGACTGCACCAAGTATTCAAATACTTATGCACGATAGTGCATGAACTATACAATACACAAAATATGTTAAATATACATAACAATAAATAAGGATATAGAAACTTACTAGTAATGCTTAATTGGTGAAAACCAGACGATGCCACTTCTTCTTCACAATGAGACATTGTATACAATTTAGTATATTTTAATAAGATAATTTTTGAGAATTCATAATTTCTTAACTATTTATATGTAAGTTTTACCTGCAATATTTTATAACCTTAATAGTACAATTAAGTATCAACACCCTTATCATAAGTGCGTAAATAAAAATTACAAAAATAATTTAAGGTAAAATTAAAGGACATTGTGAAAACAACTAGTACTATGTTAAAGCAAAAGAGGTACTTAAACCAGTATCATGAGTTGGTAAATTATGCTACATCAATATATAAATTACCAAAATGAAAACGTATTTCAGATATTTTATAATAGCGATAAACACTAAATAACATGTTGTGAAGAAATGCACTTACATATATAATTAGTAGTAAATACACACATTACCCATTAAATACAGTACAATACGATTTAAAAACTTTATCGTTTTCACATACTAAAAACACTACTGCTATTGGTATCCTTTCTAATGATCGGATATTAAAATACTCAAATAATTGTAACATACAGATGTATTTATCATGACTGTTGCAAGTGTATCCAGCTCCAATGCATTGCCTGTATCTAGGATATTAACGTTTGTATGATAGAAAAGGTTCTTCCACACTCACAATTTTTATCACAGAACTTCGTTATCAGTAGGTCACCATCTTTTCACACATCAAAGGTAGGAACCTTTTATAATATGCAAATCACTAGGTATAAAAGTATAGCATGTGGATGCGCGCGCATATATTATGTATTTATCTCACAGAAAATGTAAACTGTATTAAGTCTCTATATTTCGAATTCCCTAGAATTTAATAGCATAAAATATGAATTTACTAAAAAAATAGTATATAATTCGTGAATATTGGACATGTCAAAGTATTTATTTGTTTTTAAAATAAGTTGTTGAAAATATTTGATAATATATATGTACATAAAAGAAGTAGAAGAAAACATAAAAATCATAATTAGGAAATTGTTAAAATATGTATGCCTTATTACGTCATTAAAATTATTATCAAAATGAAGTAAAATGATTGTTACTTTATATTAAAAAGAAGCATAATGATATTCAATATTTTAATTTTAGTTTTAATAATATTAAAAGATATCAGTTTGTAATATTGTAAGAAATCATTAAAAAATATTATAAAATGAAATCTAAAATGAACTCTAAAGATTGGGCTTTTACGCTTCATAATAAAAGCGAATCTGACAACAATATTAGAAACTTCTTCTGATATAAATATAATCTAGCCAGTTCTATAAATGTTTATTAGTGTAATATATGTATGTTGTGACAGTAAGTGATAATACTAATATAAAACAATTACAGTATAATGCAACAGAATGTATATAATAGCATGTAATAGTGTATGTGAAATAGACTCTAAAGTCAAAACTCTTAAATACTTATTTTATATCTTTTATTTTAGCTTTTTACAATATAATAGCTTTATACAAAGTTTTATAAATTAATAACATTATTACATTGATGTGTTCTTGGCTGTAAAGGAAATTATGATAGGACTTCAAAATCAAATAATTGTGTTTCTGTTTTTGTTATTTCCAAAGAATGAAGAATTATGAAATCCTAGCACTTATATTACTAAAAATTAAAAACGATAATGCGCTACCTCTAGAGTGGTGTGCGAAATTTATCATGTTTTACAAATATTGACATGAAAATTTTGTTCATATTTGCAAAAATTCTAATTATTTCTCGTGAGTTATTCTTATTGCTCAGTTATTTATGGACATAGGAATATAAGACTCGAGCTTAAATGTCTAGTTCAGACAAGGAGTGTGAAGTTACTTCCAGGGAACTGGGAACATGGTCAGGTGATACTTTGGGGCTACATTGGTTATTGGTGACTTAGTGACTGACTCAATGATGTATGTCAGAAGGAGAAAACTAGTTACACTAATTTACTCTTACTCGATGAGACTAAGAGATTGCGTTTGCGCTACCACGACTAATTATCAATGCGGCCCCAAAATACTACGTTCCCCGCTCCCCAGAAATAGCTTCACCACCCCTCAGTTATTACTCGTTCCCTATATTCTTATGTCCATGGCTCATCTTCACTTATGCTATGTATTCACTTAACCTCTTTCATTTAGACAATTTCATTTTTTAAATATTTTTATTTATTTATTTTTGAAGCTATACTTCAATTCTTACTTATTTTGCAATACATTTACATTCCCTTTAAACAGTGTAAATATTTTACATACAGGCAAACACCTTTAATACCTTCCAAAGGTTTATACATATGTTATTTCTATTATTCCCAATATTTATATTTCATTTTCATTGCCCTACAATTATATTAATATCATTATTTTTATTATAACTTATTTTAAAAGTTATTTTAAGGAAGATATTAATGATAATCTACTTACTTCAGTGCAATAAAATAGGACTTTCGATGCATACAAAAGCAGTGTTGCCATCACAGTGGTGTATACAGGTTCGGCTATGATCACATGTATAAATAGGTCCAACACTCATATACCAAAACCAGAGAGGTAACTTCTTTTCTGTTATTCCCCACAAGTCTCCAGACTTGTTTATATGTATGACTGTAGTCTGTGTATATATTCTTTGATAGTATTTGAGTGATATTTGAATTATTGATATTAAAAATTACAAATTTATCTCGACGATATTGTATTCATATCTACCGTCATGATATTTCTCAGTAATATATTAATATAAAACATTAATGGAATTATCATGTTCATAATATAATTATTAAACATACATTTGTATAGTAGATACATTGTAATATGGATAAAAGTTTACTCATATAATAATTATTAAATTGTTGTTAATTTAAATTAAGGAGTTAAAATTGTTTCAATAATTTTGAAAAGAGAGAGAAGAGCAGAAGAAAGAGGTAGAGTAGGAAACAAATACTATGTATTTGTTATTCTCAGAAAAGACTAGTTCTACTTAACCTATATCAGCAATATTCTAAAGTACATAATTGACTAAAAACAGTGAAATGAAATATAATTAAACAAAACTCTCAGTTACTCTCTATAATGATGTAAATTATCATTTTTTTTTTTTTTTTAGATAAATTATAATGAAGTTCACACAATTATTATATAAACAACACATAGGTAAAGCAATAAGATATTTATGGCAACATCAACGAGAAAGATGTGTGCAAGTAACTAAAGCAGAAAAAATTTTGAAATCTATGAATTTTACAGTACATGATGCTACAGAATTAATATCAGCAAAAAGGTAAAATGTTTCATATATCACTGAGGTATATTATAATATACATCTTATTTAATTTGTTATTTTAATATTTATCTTTCATTGTTTTTATATTTATTTCTTTATACTTTATGTTGTTTGTTTCATAAAATTTCTAGAAAACATTGTTTTACTTAATTAATAATGAAAGGTTAATAACATATTTATATCCTTAATCTAAATAACTTTATAACTTAAATCATTGAATGTTACTTAATTTTAAAAATTATTTTGTCAAGTGACACAAAATAATATAAATATAATTTACCTAACTTGCAAATTATTCTATAGAAAGATTATTTTGAGAAAGATATTGCCTGATGTATTTACTTTTTGTAATTTTGGACATTGTAGTAATTTTTACAGTTAAATGTATCTTTTGTATCGAAATTTGGAAGAATATTAAATTATAACTCTTATTATTATTATATTAATCTTATTAATATAATAATATTAAATCTTATTGAAATGAATATTAAATCTTATTAATAATTATAATATTTTACTTTATAAGAATTTATTTTTAAGGACATTGATATCTATAAAAACACCAATAATATTATAATATAACTGTATAGAAGGTTACAAACTCCTTTTAAGATAAGTACAAATGTTATTAAATATTCGTTTGTATTCAACGAAATTAATGAATCCTTAATAAAGTATTTTGTGTTCATATATATATATGTTATTAATTTTTCTTTAGTTAATTGACATAATATATATTTATGAATTGAGAAACACTTTGTTAATTTGTAGCTATAAAGTTTTATTATAAATACATTTCCTTCTTTTTCATATTAGAATTGAACATTCAACTGTTTTTAATAAGTCAGAACCTAATTCCAATAGTAAAAGTTGTTTGATAATTGAAGATTGGAATGTTTTACAAGAAGGTGTACCACAAGCATGTGTATTAACGAAAACTCTAAAACTTGATGATGCATTACCAAAGAATATACAAGAGCTAATTACTGACGTTCCAGATAATATAGATAATTTATTAAAACGGTATATTAATAAAAATATGGCTATATTTCATATAATTTCATTAGTCGTTGTATTTGAAATGTACAATTAATGATTTTCTTTTCTCAATTTAAAAATCATTTTAATTATTCAGATTTGTTTATACATCTGTAATATATGATGCACAGCAAGTAAAATTACCACGATTGAAAGATCCTAATCGACCTGCTTGGGTGTTTCCAAGAGTATATGGTATATCTAGTACAAGAAAAATGTGAGTATGAATCATCTGTATGATTACATTTACTTCATATTTTTTAATTTAAAATTTTAGTTCTATAACAAAGAATATGTTGTAGGCATAATTTAACAAAGAAGTTTTTACAACTTTGTGAATCATTATGTGGATTAAATGATGTACAATACAAATCAATAGTTCATGATGGACTTGTATCTATGTGTATAGGTATATTATTAAAAGAAAAATATTATAAAATATACATTAAACTTCATGTATTATATGTGTTGCACATTCATATATAATATTTCTATTTTTAATGATCATGCAAGACAATAATATTATAAAGTATTTGATTTTTTCAGTTACGATTATTATAAACCAACTAGGAATATTTATGATTCATAACTTTAAAATCATTAGTTTTATAATTTGTACAAGTTAATTATGTTATTTTATTAGCGCATTTTCGTGTATATGTCTATTCACAAGCTCGTAATTTGTCATTTCATATATTTTAGGGAAAGAAAACGATTTTATAAAATTTTCCTTAAAAATGGATATAATGATGACATCTTCGATACCTCTAGCACCTATAGCTGATGTAAATATGGATAACAAATATGCATTTCCTAATCTTCACCCACTACATTGTACTGTTGGTTTATCTAAATTAGATATTGATAACACTGAGGATTTATATCGTAAGTTGATTATAGTTATAGAAAGCTACATTATAGTTTATAAATCATAATTAGAAAATTTAAACATGTACATTTTAACATTATAGCAATTGATACGGAATCGCCATTAATGAATGTTCACACTATTTTTATAAATCACAATCTAGAAGAAGTTAAAAATATAACTGAATTGCCAGTCACTGAAGATCAAATTCACGCACGTTCAATGATGAAATCATTTACTGTAGCAGCAACTTGTGCCCGACAAAAGTTTGGATTAAATGTGAAGAAGTTACCTGAACCTATTGTTGTGCAATGTGTTCAGTCAGATGGACAAAATTTTCATTTCTCTGTATACCAACTTAATACCTTAGATGTTGATGGCAAAGAAGGAATCAAAAATTTTTGGTGGTCAGAACCATCAATAAAATTATATGAAAAAGCTCTATATGAAAATGGGCAACCTTGTCTTACAGGCTACAATCGTGATGTTTTTAATAGATTTCTTGCATTTTATAAAAATAAATAAAATAAGATAATTATTGACAATAAACTCGTACATCTTTTTTAAGAAAATATTCAAACTTTATGTACCTATAAAAATATTTATAGCTCTTATTCTATCAGCTTTAAAATGATTAAAATTAAATAATCTCGAAGTTTATTATAGTTAAACGTATAATTTATTTGTGTGGTTACTTATAATATATTATATCTTAGTGTATATATTTCTGCTTTATTAATTATATGTGTAATATGAACATTTATTATATAATAGTTAACAGATTTTTAAAAAGGGTAGTAGCTTGGATGTTTGTATTAATTTCTTTCTGCTTTGTTTGACAGCGATGACTAGTTTGTGGTTTTATCAAATGTTTTGAAGAAACATATGGTTTAATATGAAAATATGGATGTTGTAATGCCTGAAATAAGAAATAAGAAATATTTTAATTTTTGTTAGTAATTGCTTGCTGTATTTATTTTATTACACACTTCATCAGCTGTCAGACGTTGTGATGAATTGTAAATAAGAATATTACTAATTAGATCAAGAGCTTCTTGTTCAGTATCTTCAAGAATTTCATTCCATGATATTCCCTTATGATATGGAAATGTAATTTTGTTATAATCAGGTAATATACTTAAATCTGGCCATGTTTCTGACGTAGGAGAACCTAAATATTTTAAAACTATTGCTAATTGCTCAATATCTGTCTCTCCCTGTAAGTTTGACGTTTACTATATAATTCATATTAAAATTACCATCAATAGTAGAGTAAAAATAGAAATGTCTTACAGGAAATAATGGTGATCTGTTATATAATTCACCAAAAATGCATCCAATAGACCACATATCAATTGCTGATGTATAATATCGTGCACCATATAATAATTCAGGTGCTCTATACCATCTAGTGGCAATTTGGTGAGAATATGGTTTTGTTACATTCTTCCACAATAATCTTCCTAAACCAAAATCAGCAATTTTCAAAATACCTTTTTCATTTATTAGTAAATTAGCAGGTTTTAAATCCTAAAAATAGTATTTTAGTACTCTCACTATAATTCAATAGAATTTTAAAGGTAAAAAGTAAATAAACCAAAAATTAAAAATATATAACATTCTATGTATAAATTTAATATATATGTAATTAAAGTTCTTCAGGTATATTTATTATTATTATTATTGTTGTTGTTGCTATTACTATTATTATTATTATGCTTAAGTTTATATTAAAAAATATAAATATTTCTTACTCTATGTATTATATTTTTTCCATGTATATATGCAATGCCCTCTAAAATCATTTTTGTATAAATTTTTACTTGAACTCGAGTTAATAATATATCATTGTCTCTTATTATTTCCCATAGCCCTGTTGGCATATATTCAAATACCATTATAAAATCTAAACCAGTAGGGAAAGCATCTAATAACTCTATGACCTGTATTAAACAATCTTTTTTATTAAATTTATTCCTATATTATTAATAAAGAAGTTCTTTTTTATAAAATTGTTTATATGAATTATATATGTATATATTATATATAAAATAATTGAGATAAACATACATTGGGATGTTTTAATTGTTTTAAAATTTTTATTTCTCGAATAATGGATATGGATATACCGTTATCAATATTCTTTAAGAATAACTTTTTTAATGCAACATCCTTTTCTGTTTCCACATCATGTGCTTTTAAAACAATACCTTGTGCTCCTTTTCCAATTTTCCCTGTGACTATATATCTATCCATATTCAAGATATTTATGAGTTAATATCAATTATAATATAAAATAATTCCACATTTTAGAGATAAATAAGATTATTTTTATTTTTTAACAAATATACTATATTTGTTAAAATATATGACATAATTTTATAAGTTTATAGTATATATATTTTCTTTCATTGAAATTTTTATCTTTCTCTCTCTTCCTCTCATTCAAATTTATGGACATAATTTAATAAACGAAAAACTGAATAAATATATTGTAAAGCTTATACGTAATAATATCAGGTCTCGGTTTCGTTACATAGTAACATTAATGATGTCAACTAATGGTTTCCATAGTTACAATTGAAAATGCTTGACTAACCTTACCTTTGGTTAGCTGTGATTAAAGCCTGTTTTCCACTTGCGACTAGTCCCGCAAGACGACAAAACCCATTGTCGAATATGACATAATTTTCGTCAGACGTCAGAGCAGTCCTGTGAGACTATAAAGCATAGATATGGAATATATACGTGCTATACTCACATGCAGAACAATCGCGTTACTGAATGTGATTTTGCTGCTAGAATGTACGATTAGTCGCAAATGGAAAAAAGCCCTAAATCCTTTCAAAGCGTTTTATAGCAGTCAATTAATGTAAACAGTAAAGGCAATAAGTGGGAAAATCAGTTATAGTCTATTTATATAATATATGTTAGTAAATTTCAAAAGTGACAAATTATATATGTATCTATAATGTATGAATGAAATGTAGGAATTGGAATAGAATATATTCTGTAGCTAAAATTTTATAGTAACTTTAATGGAGATTTATTAGATATTTGTAATTATGAGTAATAGAAAACTGAACAATTTTTATAAGAACAAATGGTATCTTGGTAAGAAGTCATCAAAATCTAAAAAGAGTAAGATATTCTTTGTTCATTTTGATAAATCTATAGTTTTAAATAATTTAGTGAAATATAATCAAATACAATTAATGAATTTGTTTTTACCTTTTGTACATATGTATATCACATTTTTATTTTAATATTTGAAATATACGAAACGTTTTTTTAAGTGTTGATTATTTAGTGTGTTGTAATGTAGTAAAATTACGTTAATTATATGTGAAAAGAAGAAATGATGATCGTCTTTTTTATCACATATCGCTTCTTTTTATATTCAAAGAAACTTATTAAGGTAAGCTCAATAATTTATGACTCAAAGCCAATATGAATTTATGGAGATCATACATAAATGAAAGTATCAATATGGGTTTCTAAGTTATTAAATTATCTTAGATGTTTAATTATTATGCTTAATTTGACTGTTACAACATTGACTGCTATAGTGTTAATACTTTTTTCAGTGTCTTAAGTATATAATGTTTTTATGCATATATCATATACTTTTGTATTTTAGGTTACATAGCCTATATTGTGTATATGTAAATAAAGATATGCTTGTAGACCACAGGTGATTTTCATAATAGATGAATGCAAATTAGTAGTAGCCCATGTAGTCTCTTAGAAAATATAATTGTGAATCTTTGTCGATTTATATATTAATCAATATGTTAATAGCTAATAATTAGGATATTTACCACTATATGATGCATCTAAATAACATAATAATCTTTAAATTTTCTCATTTTATTTAGCATTCTTAATTAGCTTGGATGTATGTTTAATTACATAATCTTGATATTGATCTATTTGATTAACTATCAGAATTTATAAGTATTTTCATAGATATAATATATATTATTAACATTTCATGATATAAGAGATTAAGATAGAAAAAGAATAATTGCAATTTGTATTCAATTATAATATGTCGTAATTAGGAATATACAATAGAAATGTAACAAGTATAGAACACTATATTTTAAGAGGTGTTTATATGTAGAAGCAACCGACAATTAAATTAACACTTATAATATTGAAATATAAATAATGAAGATGGGATTTTATTAACAAAAAGTGCAGTTGTATTTAAGGATACATTTGTAAGTATAGTTGTATCATAAAAAGATAAAATTTGTTGAACTATAAAAAATTTTCTATTGTGGTTTTCTTCCACCTTCATTTAAAATAAAGCTATAATCTTGTCTAGTTATTAGACTTAATGTTTATATAGAGTGGTTCAAATATAATGTCACAAAATGTTTTTTCTTAAATTATTAGGGGTGGCAAATTTCATTTTTGGCATTTAATTGGCATATTGAGCTTTTCTACAAAATAAATAGTTCTATAAAATAAACTGCTTACCTTATCTAGGAGAAAGAAGATGGATCTTCGATTAGTTTTTTATGTATACCTGTACACATTTGATATCCATTAACTTATTTTATTATTTTATTATTTATTTATATTAATATTATATTATATAAATTATTTTATTATTATCACGTTTAAATTAAAATAATTATTATTATAAACTAGAATATGTGTACTGTATTACAGTGTTATGATTTGTAACATGCTTATTAGAAAAATACTGTAGTTATTAGTTTGTGTATTATTGTGAGAATTTTCAATACAGCGGGGCTTACGTGAAATAATAACAAATTAATTATAAAAATAATAGGTAAATGAATAATTGATATTATCTTACAAAATAGAATAATTGTTATCATCTTACGGAAGCGATTGAAAAAAACCTAAATTCAAACCCAATGAATTGATGATATTCATTTTTAATTGAGTTATAAGACATTTCTTATAACCTCGCATATGCATGTTACGTACGAACTTTCATCTCGAATATTCAAGCACGTTCCACCCTCTGTATATATAAATAAAAGCTTTCGAGACCAGGTCATTTTATCCGTTCGTTGGTAACTAATATAGACGTATACGCTGTCACAGACGCTCAATTCTATGTAGAATTCTCTGCTGTAATAGTAATAGTTTTTCGCAAATATGTCGTAAATAGACTCTTTGTATGTATCTGTCCCAAAACCCATGTCGTCAGTTTTACAATATACAATTGGCCGGGAGCGGTGTTCAGCTGGATATCTTCACTGGCAAGTTAAGTTAATACAAGGACATTTGCTTTAATGCATTTATAAAGAATATCCGTTTCCATTGACAAGTTAAATTAGCTCAGCCATTTGAAAAATCAATTTTTTAAAATCATTTCTACTAAAACAAAGTTTAGTTGTCGCGTAAGCGATTTTTCGGAGACCTCAGTGACCTACCAGGGAGCCTTTCCCTTTCTACACGCATGGACTAGGCATCTATGCCACCATCGGCTGATCGCCACGCTATTGTTTCTGCTTGTCAGTTGTCAGTCTATAAACTTGTAATGATTAGCAATTAAAATTTTATCGAATAATGAATAACAAAAAAAAAGAACAATCAATAAATGCATAATTCTGTATCTAATACATATGTGTATGTATTATTATTGTTTTGTGTATCTATTGTTAATATTTGACAGAAACTCAAAATTTAATAATTTTATTTATGTTTTTCAATAGCTTAAAAATATTCTTTTGCTTTTTTACTGTTACTATTCAACCATCTGAATAATAGTTTGTGTTCATGTAATCACCAAACATTCTTACAATTTGCAAAAAAGCAAATTTAATAAATATAGGAATAATAAATAACAGATAGAAAATATTAATGGTAAATAGTAAATAATTTATATAATTCTGATCCATGACTCACCTGTTGAAAAACTCCAAACTATAATAAACCATGTGCGGCGGACTTGATGATTCCGACAGGCACAATATAAATCTGTAGCAGTTCTTCAAGGAGTTTTCCCGAACCACATTTTTGTGAAAGTCTTTTCTTCGACGACGAGGCCGTTCACCACTAACATGTGTAGGAAAAAATTGCTCAGGATCTTGCCTCCAACCACATATTAAAAAGTGTCATCGAAATCGGAGAAGTTGAGTTCTATCTGTACATACACCAAACATGTCTTCTTTTGTGTATATTAGAAATTTGTCAAAATAGGTTCGCTTACCGAAAAGCATTACTGTCTTCCCTATTCTGTGGCCAGATCTGTTGGAACCTTAGACATAGTCTTTATCCTCTGGCAATATGACGTCACGGTCGGGTCACTTGCCATTAGTAAACTATCTTACTCTTTATCTAACTAAATAGTCATATTATCAACATCTCATAGTTCAAAGGCTTGGCGATCGATTTACCAAATATTCAGTCGAGCATCCTGTCAAGACCGTTACTGATTCCTCCTCCTAAATAGCGGTGGGCTACTTGCCATAATATCGTTAAGAAAATGTGTTGCCACTAACACATACATCAATTATTCGAAATCGCTTACATATTGAAGTATTTATATTTGAAAATGATTAATTTAAAAAATACTTTTACTTTCACTTTGTTAAATTTAGTGTATGGAATGATTTTATTTTGATTTTTGACGTTTTTCATTTTCATGTTTGCAAGTCCTTTTAACGATTGACTTAAAGTCATTTTTTATTACAATAATGATGAATAATATGTCAATATATTAAGACCGTAGGATTTTTTTACTTTCGTTTAATTGGTTGATGCAATAAAATCGTTCATAATAGCAATCCTCTAATTGTTTTAAGCAGTGTATTTAAGCATTAAACGTTAAATTCTAATGGCATAATAATTAAACTTTTATTTGTTGGAATTTTAATTTTGATATACATATAAACTTATTTATGTTATATCTATATAATTAATAATTTATAGATTACAATGACAATCAAAACGATGAAAAGAAATATCAACGTTTGGACCCTATTGAAACATATAATTTATTAAACGTAGATAGTACTTACATAGATTTCAATATTCCATACTATGGATGGAAGCTATTTTTTTCTGATGAAGGTAGAAACATTTTTTATATTTTTTATTAAATTGGGTTAATGGCAAATTGAAATACAATAGTTATATAAAAATAATTCATAGATAAGTAATAATGTTGGAAAAATAATTTGTCTTTTAGTTTATAAAAATGATTCTGATACTGTTAAAAAAATACAAATAGTAGAAAGATTTATAAACAAACATCAACGATTGTCAACATTACTTTCGTTGGAAAATTTAGAAAATGGCATAATTTTTATTGTTGACATATGTGAATTATACAATGATACAATTTTTATGGATGAATGGTCTGATTTTAAGAAAGATATATATGAAAATCCATTGCATATCTTAAATTGTTTTAAATTGGCTGTACATCAGGTATACCTATAATATTTTTTATAATTAGTATATTTATTCACGAAATATTAAGTTCTGTATTTTTAGCAAATTTTAAGTACAGTACCACGAAAAAATCTAAGCTCTGCAAATATTATAAGTACACTTTCTACTGTTAGAATAAAAATATTAAATCATCAACCGATTATGTGTTTGCAAGATTTGAAAGCAAATTCTTACGGTATGTATACAATTCCTTGAGTAATAAAGATCATAATTTTGTTTAATTCTGACCTAATTCTGTTTTTGTATATTTAATTTTCTTAACAGGGAGATTAGTATCAATTAGAGGCTGTGTAATAAGAGTAGGCCACATAAAACATCTTGCGCAATGGATTATGTTCGCTTGTCGTAAATGTAATTTACAGAAAATAGTGAAACAGCCATTAGGAGTTTATGCAGTTCCAAGAATATGTAATACATGTGGCATATCTAAATTTCGTGTGATATTAGATTCATCATTGGTGAAAAGTATCTCATTTCAAACGATTAAAATACAAGAACTTTCAAATAACGATCAGGTTTGTACTTCTATTACAAATAAAAAAGATCATTTTTATTTTGTGCGCGTATGCTTATATAAATGAAGGTCAGAGTTACAATTCATTTTAATAAATTTATTATGTTATATACTATGTATAAAACTACTCAATAATTTTTGAATAAATTGTTTCGAACAATTAAATTTATACTTTTATTCAAATGCAATTTTTTAAAATTATGTTTTTTAAAATAGTCATAATAATTCATCATAATAATTCATCATAAACGTAAATAATATAAAAGAATTGACTCTTCATAGCATTACTCTTTTATATAGATCGTGTGAATAATATTGCGACAAAATAATAAATAATCTTACTTATAGATTTAAAAACTGTTGAAAATGAATTAACTTATAACTCATTAATATTGCTGGCGTGTTTTATATATGTACATATCTTTTTTCGTATAGAACAGTAAAGGAAGTATGCCTAGAACGATTGATATCGAATTAATGGATGACTTAGTCAATACTTGTATGCCTGGAGATGATATTACTTTAACAGGAATTATAAAGGTAAAGTGTACTTAGATATATGTGGTAGATTACGAAAGAGTTTCAATGTTTGCAATTAAGTGTTTAATTTATATTTGTAATCGATTCTCGAGTAAGTTAGGGCATTTATATACAGGAATTGTTTCACATTCAAATAATTCTTTTGAGAAACTAACTTTTCTATTTTATAATGTTCTCATTTTAACTAAATATTTTTGTCTTTAAGCATATTTTTGCATCGTTAGTTTTAGATAATTCGCCTATATTTTATTAAAAACATATAATCTATGTTTTTTTATTCATATTACAATGTTATGATCTGACATACTTTGTTACATAGGGTAATAATAATGCAAAGCCTCGAAATAAAATCTCATTTTCTTTGTACATGGAAGCTATTACGATAATTAATAATAAACAAAGACTTCAGGATAAAAATATCATAAATAATGAAATGTCAATAAAGGATTATTTAGCAATAAAGGTATATGAATTGAAAATATATGTTATAATTTAAGTAATCTATCCTGTGAAGTATTTATGTTTTATTAATTCTGATAGGAGGTATATAACACACCAAATATATTTCCGCTGTTGATACATTCTTTATGTCCAAGTATATATGGTCATGAAATTGTCAAGGCCGGACTGATGTTGAGCTTATTTGGTGGAAATGTAGAAAACTCAGAATCACGAGAAAATATTCATGTATTAGTAGTTGGTGATCCTGGTCTTGGAAAATCGCAAATGTTACAAGCCTGCGAGCGAATTGCTGTCAAAGGTACAACAAAATGAATAAGAATTTTATTATATAATTGTATAGAGGATGCCTGAGCAGATATTGATTTTTTGGTTTACGTCGCTATTTTAGAAGTTACTATTATAAAAGTTGAATGGCTTTATATTCCGATGTTATTAATTTTCCTGTAGATGAACACGTAAAGATTATGTGAAGGTCAACTTTTTTTTTTGAATGGAATCTTATATCTTTTAATACATTAATCGCTACGGGTAATAAAAGTGATGTAAATCAAGATGCCAATATTTCGATATGTATATTATCGAAGAATTTGTAACAATGATTTTTATAGGTGTATATGTGTGTGGAAATTCAAGTACATCTTCTGGTTTGACAATAACGCTAACAAAAGAAAATAAAAATAATAAATTTAATTTAGAACCAGGAGCATTAGTTTTGACAGATAGAGGCTGTTGTTGTATTGATGAATTTGACAAAATGCATAAACAACATTCGGTAAAGCTGTTAGAACTATTTAGAGCTGTTTTGCTATAAAACTATTAAATATCAAATTAATAAAAACTTAGCATTCTTAATATCATATTCGTATAATGAATAGTTGATTATGGTTTATCACTTTATATTAAAAAGCAAATTGTTTAAATTATAGGTTTTATTAGAAGCTATGGAACAACAAAGCGTAAGCATTGCTAAATCAGGAATAATATGTTCTCTTCCTGCTAGAGCATCAATTCTCGCAGCTGCTAATCCGATTGGTGGTCGATTTAATAGAAGTAAAACAGTACTGCAAAACTTAAAAATGAGTGTTCCTCTCTTGTCACGTTTTGATCTAATATTTTCATTATTAGATGAACCGAATAAGGTGTTACTTAATATTTAATAGTTATACATACACAAGCGAATACTTCTGATTAAGATTATATTTTCTGTTTGCAATAGCATATAGATGATTTATTATGTAATCATGTTATGTCAATTCATGGTGATTTCAACGCAACTAATAGTGTGCAAAGTAGTACGTCTCAACATATAAATATACCACATACAACTAAACTTTCATTAAGGTAATTAAAACATATTAGACATAATAATTGTTCAACATATATAAACATGTATTTATTTTTTATAAACAAATTTTTTAGAGATAGACTGAAAGTTCCTATAGCAGAAAATACGAATATCATTCCACAGTCAATTCTCAGAAAATATATTGCATATGCACGGCAATATGTTAAGCCGAAGTTAACTAAAGAAGCAGCTAACATATTACAAAATTATTATTTAGAGCTTCGAGATCAGAATAATAAAGTTGGTGGTTTATCTGTCTGTAATAGACAATTAGAAGCTATGATACGATTAACAGAGGTTCCATTATTTTTGTGTTTGTTATTTTGAATTTTTAATCTATGCATATACATATGTATAGATTTTGAATTGAAATATCTTTTTTCTCATGAAACGAAAATTAAAATCCCTACATAGGCTAGAGCAAAATTGGAATTACGTACAGAGGCAATAGAAACAGATGCTTTGGATGTGATAGAAATTTTACAACATACGTTTGATGACAAAATTACAAATTGCCAATCCTCAAGTACAAGAAATATAACTAATCGAAAAGTAAGTAAGTTAATATAGATTTACAATAACGGGAGACTGTGATGTACTAATATGCATTTTTTGTTCAAAGATTAAAGAATTTATACAGATACTAAGAAAAGAAGCAATTTCTAACAATAGTAAGATATTTTCTATGAAAAGATTGCGTGAAATCGTATCGGATAAGAAAATTTTGATGAGTGACTTCTCTGAATTTATTGCGAAATTAAACGAAAACGGCATTTTATTGAAAATGGATAGTAATACGTTCAAATTTATTTCTTTAGATTAAGTATATATATATATATAATGTTTATTATATTATTTCATTGTATTTCTCGAGATCCAAGTAATTTATGTTGTTACATTAATTTTAGGACACTCTAATTGTAATAAACAATAAATAATATTTTGCAGTGATCAGCATTAATGATTAGCATCAAATGTTGTGATATGATGATGCTTTTCAAAATTATTATAAGATTGTACTACAATATTATATTTGGCATTATTGTTGATAATATAAAATAAACAAATTTACATTACATTATATTATCTGTCAGTTTCTACACGGTTTTACACTTCAAAACAGTCAGCTTTACACGGAAGACGCCAATACAGGTACAGACAGCATCTTGGTTTTGGTTTATGAAAACAACCAGGTCTGCGACAAGGTCTTTTGGGGATATATATCTTTGGTTTTGAAACACGTGCTGGAGGTATAGTAACCTTGCAAAATCTGTGTAATAAAATTCTCTTATGCCTTGTTTTTTTAACATGTATAAATGATTATATATTTCATTTACATAATTATATTGTGTTATATGTAATATATAAATATATACATATATATCTAAGGTTCTGCTGCTAACCAAAGTATAAAATATATTTATTATTGATATCCAAATTAGCATAGTAATCGTTCCTAATTTGTGCCGGACGGACGAAAACAACATAAATTTTTATTCTTCTAACATTGAAACAATTCAATTAAGACATCGTGCTGTAACTCTAGTTAAACATCGTGCAGCACATGCAGGTGGACAGTATGGAATACATTTTGGTGGACAAGGTCCGCACGGCACTGGTGGCGTACATATCGTAATTTTACATGGTGGTGGGCATGCTACACAAATTGGTGGAACACATGGGTAAGGTACACACGACGGACAAGAGGGTAACTGGTACTGGATACAGGATGCAGGAGGCGGATAGCAAGATGGTGTGCAACGTGATAATGGACTTCTTCCACAAGACATTGTTTTCCTTTTTTATTGCTTTTTTGTTGTATATTATTTTTTATGATGTCATATACATGAAATTTTGATAATACCATTTATACGAAATAGCTGACAATTGAAATTTATGCGAAGATATTATTCATTTATTATGTGTTGGAGACATATTCAGACGATGTAGTCGTTTTTTTTTAAATAAATCATTCCAGTGTTATAAAACGAAAAATAAATTAAATAGAGTGGAAATATGCTAAAAATATAATGAATATGTAACAAAATTCATATTCTTCGATTTTTATAAAACTTGGATGAAATCAAAATTTTTGTTTTCAATTATTTGAACATAATTACCATTAGAAATGCCTTGTGACGGAAAAAATCCTAATTGTGATAGAAGACGAGAATTATTAGCGCAATTAAAATGTTTGATTAGTTCTATGGAAAGAAAGTAAGAAAATGTTGAAATTAAATTACGAACATGAATAAAATTATAATTTGTTCATTATAGAAAAGCATGTGAATGGGATGAGCCACCTTGTCCTCCTCCTGTTATTTGTTCTTCACCTTGTGCACCTATTTCTGATTGTGTAAGTATGAATCGATTTAAAAATGCGTAATGTGTACAGTAGGGAAGGAACCTGAGTCAATAATCACAGCTTTTGTATAAATCATTTATTGTTATAAAAAGTAAGGGATACGAAAAATAAACATAATATATACAGTTATCTTGGTTAAAGGAAACGTAAGAAATTTTTTACAATATAAATTTCTTTTATTCCTAACAAAAAAATCGATTGAGTCAGTTTTGCTGATAGAAACAATATATATACAGTATATGTGCTCATATATACATATACAACGAATGCACATGTACAGTGCATATACTAAGTTTCATTAAAATTTGAAGATACTTTCTTGAATATGGTTTTCGCTTTATTTTAAAATGAAGATTAAAATCTTTATTAATTAATATTTCAGTACCAATACAGAAAGTGTCTTGTTACAAAATAGAATAATACTAAAAATAATTGTAACCAAATTTGGGAAAAAATGCCTTCTATCATTTTATATTTTTTAATACATCAATTTATATATGGAGCTAAATTTTAATTATTAAATTTCAGATTCCAGTTAAACAATGTAAAAGTTTTGATTTTCGAGCAGGTATTATATATAGATGTGAATGTATCAAAAGGAATGGTTTACAAGATAGATGTATGGTGTGGGATTGTATGGGTAGACCAGAATGTATGACAAAGTTATATCCCGTTTGTATGCCAGGGCGCAACGCGTTGTTGAAATTAACAGAATTGGGAGATATGGAAGTTGCACTAAGGAAATTTTATTGTGCTGATCAAGCAAGGGAAGCTGCTTTGGCTGCATATTGTAGATTGGTATGCTGCAATGGTGCAGAAAAATCTTGCTGTACAAATGTAAAGGCAATATGTTCAAGCAATACGAAGTGTAAGCCTGTATGTATCGAACTACCACCCTGTCAACCCTGTCAACCATGCAGTATTGCTCCTTGTGTGCCACCTTGTACTTCTTTCAACATTTGTGTACCATGCTCACCTCCATATCCACCACCATGTCCACCTCCATGTTTACCACCATGCCCGCCACCATGCCCGCCATGTCCGCCATGTCCGCCATGTCCGCCATGTCCGCCATGTCCGCCATGTCCGCCATGTCCGCCATGTCCGCCATGTCCGCCATGTCCGCCATGTCCGCCATGTCCGCCATGTCCGCCATGTCCGCCATGTCCGCCATGTCCGCCATGTCCGCCATGTCCGCCATGTCCGCCATGTCCGCCATGTCCGCCATGTCCGCCATGTCCGCCATGTCCGCCATGTCCGCCATGTCCGCCATGTCCGCCATGTCCGCCATGTCCGCCATGTCCGCCATGTCCGCCATGTCCGCCATGTCCGCCATGTCCGCCATGTCCGCCATGTCCGCCATGTCCGCCATGTCCGCCATGTCCGCCATGTCCGCCATGTCCGCCATGTCCGCCATGTCCGCCATGTCCGCCATGTCCGCCATGTCCGCCATGTCCGCCATGTCCGCCATGTCCGCCATGTCCGCCATGTCCGCCATGTCCGCCATGTCCGCCATGTCCGCCATGTCCGCCATGTCCGCCATGTCCGCCATGTCCGCCATGTCCGCCATGTCCGCCATGTCCGCCATGTCCGCCATGTCCGCCATGTCCGCCATGTCCGCCATGTCCGCCATGTCCGCCATGTCCGCCATGTCCGCCATGTCCGCCATGTCCGCCATGTCCGCCATGTCCGCCATGTCCGCCATGTCCGCCATGTCCGCCATGTCCGCCATGTCCGCCATGTCCGCCATGTCCGCCATGTCCGCCATGTCCGCCATGTCCGCCATGTCCGCCATGTCCGCCATGTCCGCCATGTCCGCCATGTCCGCCATGTCCGCCATGTCCGCCATGTCCGCCATGTCCGCCATGTCCGCCATGTCCGCCATGTCCGCCATGTCCGCCATGTCCGCCATGTCCGCCATGTCCGCCATGTCCGCCATGTCCGCCATGTCCGCCATGTCCGCCATGTCCGCCATGTCCGCCATGTCCGCCATGTCCGCCATGTCCGCCATGTCCGCCATGTCCGCCATGTCCGCCATGTCCGCCATGTCCGCCATGTCCGCCATGTCCGCCATGTCCGCCATGTCCGCCATGTCCGCCATGTCCGCCATGTCCGCCATGTCCGCCATGTCCGCCATGTCCGCCATGTCCGCCATGTCCGCCATGTCCGCCATGTCCGCCATGTCCGCCATGTCCGCCATGTCCGCCATGTCCGCCATGTCCGCCATGTCCGCCATGTCCGCCATGTCCGCCATGTCCGCCATGTCCGCCATGTCCGCCATGTCCGCCATGTCCGCCATGTCCGCCACTGTGTTCGCCTTGCCCCCCGTGTCCACCATGTCAACCATGTGCATTACCATGCTCACCGCGTGTATCACTATGTTTACCGTCATGTCCTCCACCATGTCCATCACCATGTCCTCCGCCATGTTCACCATGCTGTTCCTCACCTTGTCCATCAATGTGTCTATCAATGTGTCCATCACCATGTCTACCGCTGTGTCCATTACCATGTTAACCAAAATATTTATCAGTATGTATCCATTATTATATTCTATTTCTTATGTGCCAAATATACATTTTCCTTTCATCATTCTGTTATGAGTCTATTTTACTATGTATAGTTTATATATTTCTGTGGAATATCAGTTATCACAAATGTATCTAAAAATTTTATACGTGTTCTCCAATATTTGCATACCTTTTATGCATATAAATAATGTATGTTGTAAAAGCATCAATAAATATAGTAATAAATATATTTAAATAATAAATGGGTTATTTTACTCAACTATTATATATTACTATTTTTATTATATTTGTATTATATACACATAAGTTACATAAGCTTTAGAGTATTGACAGTATCAGTTTTTGGATGGTGGATACTGTTCTGGATGTCGAGATTGTAAGTATTTTGCTGGTAAGCAACTAGGCCATGGTTTATTAAGGCATTCGGGTTCTTTTTGACATTGACTCAGTGGACAAGAATCTTGAAGACCATCTCTATGTACACAATGACATCTTGTGGATAGAATACCATTTCTCATTTCAGGAAATTTCAAACGACTGAGCTGAAATAAATATTAATATTTAGTACATATGAGAACTGCATTATGTTGATATTATCGATATACGTATTATGCACAGTTACTCGCATTAATATTCGAACACGGCACTACTCCTGTATTTGATGCATCGTATAAAACTGAATGATTTAAATGTCGTGTTACTTATTCTACGAGAATATAATAGTAATGCCCCACACGCCATGGTGCCCGAATATTAATACGACTACTGTAAATGCATGGTCTATGTACGAAATTTATGTTCGAAGATTCTGATATGCACAGGTAGATTTCAGGAAGTAGATAGATTTTTAATATAATTTATTTACGATTTTTCACAGGCTACCACACATGCTTTTTCATTTACATATTTGGATCATCAAGTTTGTATTATAATTGTATCAGCCTTACATTACGTACTGACCACAATTTACCTCTGAAGTTTGGATGTCACTCACACCCGTCTTTGTTTGTTTGTGCGATGTTTTTGGCGCCTCAGAGGAATTCTCTTCAAAAGGAATCATTAGAAATATCGGTAGCATAAGTGGTGTTTTTTCTTCGTGACATTCCTGCTTCACTGGATATTTGCGAAGGATACTATCAAGCAGAAAAAATTTCATTTCATTTTTGGTGAAGATAAAGTTACTGAAAATAAGAAAAGATAGCCGGATGAAAATGACAAAAAGTTTAAGGGATGCTCCTGCTAGTCAAAGTAACTTGAAATGATTGATATTTCAGAATCAGCTGAAGTATCTCTGATACTTGGTAAAATTTTCTACATGAATAAATGTACAATGACTCATGTTAATATTCGGATACAGCACTATTTCCATATTTGTAGCTTTGTATATGAGATGACGATCTAAATATAGTGTTGCCTATTCTAAGAGAATATGGATCATTTATGTTGCTCGTAAATACATGAACAATTCCTTTGTAACAATTACATTGAATTGTACAATAACGGACAGAAGTTGTTTTCCTTGTTTCTTAAATTCGATGGCGATCTTCTTCTTTTAAAGTTAGTATTCTTTCCTCTTCGTGACATGTTAAATTTCTTAATGTATTATAAAAATATCAATATTAATTTTTTCTGGTACTAATCATACAAAATAATTATTAAAAAAATTATTTTGCAATTCGAATTGTTTCCATGAATTGCTGGTTGCAGAACGATAACAAGTGTCCGAATATTAGTGTGTAGTTTTTTGATAAAAAGCTGTTGCACAGTGAAATGTTATTGTTAGAAAGAAATTTTTTAGGCATATTCAAGCTGCAACAAATGGCAACAATGCTTCAGTGTTTGAAGGTAAAGTAACTGTACAATGCAAATACATTTGTTACATGAACTATTATTATTTTTACACCTACTTGCAACCTTATTCTTTTTTTACTATAGAGAGTTAATTATTTTATGTACATATACTTTTACGGAAATTAAGAATATGACATAGTATTAATATATTATTAAACTAACCATTTTGAAGATGCTGGCTCTAATGTTGCAGTAGTTTGCATTATGTGTTTCAGTTTTGTAATATGTTTAAGGAGCACTATTAAGAACAAAGTACTTGTTAATTTGTTATGTTGTAGAAAGTGTTCTATTTAAACTAAAATTTAGTGAAATATTCTGGAATGTTGTTGGTTGATGAATTTTAGGTTAAATTTTCTAACGATCGTGTTTTGTTGTGGTTTATATACATATTAACATTCTTGAATTAAGCAACATTAGAAAGCACTAATAAAATTTTACACATTACGAGAAATAGTTTTAAAGCAAATATAATTTAGTTTAATATAGTTTTTGAAAAGAAGCAAAAATTTGTGAAAGTATTGTTATTATTTATTTTATTTAAAGTAGCATCGACTAGTTACATTTTTATTCTTTCAAATAATCTTTCCCAGATTACTTGTACATATTATCATAGAAAAATGTATGTATATAATATTTATTATTGTGATAAATATACGACTTAATTGTAAAGCTATAAATTAGTAGGAATGCAATCAAACAACATTTATTATAAGAAGTCTCATCCCTTTTTAAAAAAACCTTTCATTTATTTTATATATTGATACATAACATATTATGAAGTTATTTACACTTTTAATGGTATAAAACCCACAAAGAAAGCATAGATCTTGTCAGCTTTCTTCTTTGTTTCTTTTTCACTACTGTTATAAGTACATACATAAATTACATTTCACAATAGATATAATATGAATATCAGCGTTTTAATATTACTTGAAGTTTGCGATTATAGAAATAAAATAAAAAACATATGATGATAATGTAATATCTTCTTAAAATATATTTTTAGATGTTTTACATCAAAAAATTTCCAAGTTTATTATTTGTTATATTAATTTCGTTAATTTTAATTGTATACCATTCATATAGCTCGAAAACATCAAAGATGTCGTACAAATGTTTAAAAAGCAATGGTGCTAGTATAGAAGAGACACTTGGAAGTTGGGGCTTTTCTAACAGAGTCTCAAATTCTGGTCAAGAACTTAGACGTTTAAGATGTCTCTTTAATAAGATGGATGGAATGTAAGGAATGAATTCTATAATGTTTTCTTCGAATGTATTAATTTCTGTAACGTATTAAATTGTTAAGTAATGTAAAAATGTAAGATAAAAATAAATTTAAATATAAACTAGATAAGGACGAATTAGAATATTAGAAATAAACTAGATCATATAAAGATATAAAATTAATATTATCTGAAAAGTATTTTTTCATGATATATCATTGAAATCTTCAGGAAAACTAGGAAGCCAATGATGTGTGTAAAATATAATTGTTTATATGACCCAGACGCATGGCATGTAAAACCTAGTCCTGACGAATGTAAACCTATTTGGACAATGCCTATGAGAAGACCTCTTATTACATATAGCTCTACTGCTGATATAATAATGACATCAAATTTGGATAGCATTGGAACAGATTTGCTTTATCCTATTCCAGGACGAAGTTATCTATTACAGGGTGTATGTAAAAGTATCCAACCAAATGGAGCAGTTATAACATTTAACTTGGTTTTCTTTTAACAGACAGATAAATGGTATCGGCATAGCCAATGCTGCAATCAACAGCCAAATTGTTCAGTACGACATCCTTGTGCACCACAGTGTTAAAAGCATATTATACATGTATAAAGATAATGTACATGAAAGTAAACATCTGCTATTCAGATTTTTATGGTCGTTTATATTTGATAATTTTAATCATAAGTTGTTATTTGTATCTTTCTTTCGTCAAGCGATAAATCGTATTTTATTTATAAAATATAATATAAAATTCGTCATGAGAAGGGCTACAATCGTAGGTGTTCAAAAATATATAGCTCAATTAAAAAAAATGAGGGTGATGTTCAGAACGTGTAATCCATCACGTAATAATTTCCTGTCGAAACCTTTTATTTCAAGCTTTTCTTTCAAACATTTCGCCGTATAAATTGAAAGAATTATTTAAGTGGCTTGCTTTTGGTGACTCACCCCGTATATGCTTCAAAGAGGGCTCCTATAATATATGTATAACTAGCAGTTTGTCACATATTGATTACTTCCTCGCTAGAAAAATAAATGCAGTTGGAAAGTATAACACATGTAATCCTCTCTAAATGTACAGTCATGGCATGGTGTATAAAGATCATTTCCTTTGAGTTTCCTTTTGATCACAAAATGTATATTAATTCTATAGCAATGTATTATAACAAGTACGCAGTTTCATTTATTTTATATATTAGCACGTATATTTTGTAACATGAAGACAGGCTTCTTTATTTGCAGACAATAATATGTAAATTATGCTGTCTTAAGATACCTAAAACTATAGAACCAAGAACAACAACTAACAGCAATTAATACTTAATTTTAGCTTACTTGGATAAATTAGATGAGTATATTATACATTATATTTATGAGTATATTATATATTATTTTTGATTTTCAGAGTACTGAATAAAATCCATTATTATGATATTGAATCTACTACTAATCTATTAAGATAATCTATTAATCTACTACTAATATATTAAGGTATTGAAATCATATATGAAAAATTCCATATTGATTGTTGATTATACATGTATTGAGATTAAATTAGCAGTTATTTTCCCTTCAATAATTTTTTTTCCTTAATTAAGTGTAAACATGCAATTTTTTTGTATAGTATCGTAGGCAATTTTCTTCGAATACTCTACGGAATTTGTTGATAATTTGCTTTATCAATCAATCTACATTTTTATCTTCTACGTTATTCCTTAACAACGTGAAATACGATACTGCGGTAGATAAAATCTGCAAAATGTTAATAAGTAAATTATTTCACAATATCAGAAATTATAATTTTCTGGTATTTTAAAATGTCCTATACTTCAAATTTTATAGATCGCAACAAGTATTTATTGTAGAGTTGATACTATATCTACCGTAGTGTAAGTTTCCAATGATACAGGAAAAAAATTGTTCGCAGTAAGACAACAAACTCGTCTTGATCGTTCAATCACCATTATCAGATCGTTTCGCAGCATTCTACCAGGTTTGTTCATTGGCATGATCGTCCACAGCGCCGAATATGCTCCTATAGCAACTTTCTCACTGTGTTCTATCACACCGTCACAACTATAGGTGAACATAAACAGTAGAGCCATTGAACCGACTAAAAGAAAGACGAAGATGGAACGTCTCGCAAAAGGAGCAGCAACCTAAGAGGAAATTGTTCATTTAGAAATTCCCAAATATTTAATAAAATTTCATAATATAGCAATGTATTATGGCACGTAAATACTAACCACTAGTCCCTGATAAGCAAACAGGCAAATTAACACGCTAAATACCAACACTTGTCCAAATATCAGCATCGTATATACGTCTTCAAGCCTGTTGCAAAAATCAATCAGTGTCTGATGTTGTCGAATGTACAACTTCAATTGCTCGTAAAATGTATGCACATGCTTTGTTATCATCAATCCCGTGTCTTCCTCTGTTATCTGATGTTCCATGTCACACAGTTTTGCGAACCTGTATCGAAGTATGCGAAACTGGCCAGTCAAATGTACGGCGAGGATGCAGAAAACGTTATCGAAGCAAAAATAACTGACCGCTATGTAATACAAACTTATCGTCTGCAAAAAGTAAAAATTATTTCCCCTGTCGCAGTTCGTGGAAGAAATTAATTCTTACAAAATCGCAGATATGTCGCTTATACTATAATCATCGATACGAAGGATTTTATAGATTTATAGAAGATTCTAAGAGTGTACTTCGACTAACAGCGAATACATTTTACCTCCGTGAGTATCCAAGCATAAGTCATTGTATAATAAGTTGGACGTAGTGTATAAAGGTATACATATAACGCAGGTAACTAAAGTAACATTCGTTAGAAAAATTTACGAGAAGTTAAATACCTGTATAAGGAATCCTATTTCGTAGTAAGGCGATATAGATACTGGTAAATTTAGCCACACGTTGAATGGCAATATTCTTTCTGATTTATTTTTCCCAGCATTTGCTGTAATAAACGCTTAGATGGTGTACTTTTTTCTATATCAAATGTTTTGTTTATTTATCGTTAGGTATATTTTTCTGTTTATGAAATTTTCAGCCTTCGAGGGTAGAGAAATATTTGTCAGTATATATAATTTTTAAACATCTAAATGCAGCAATACTATATCAAGATTCTTTTATTTAAAAAAAGAGTTGTTTAAGTTATACGACAACAAATTCTTATATAGTATAAGAGTTTTGTGGCAAAAGTATATTATTATCTATATACCGTTCTTGGTCTTAACTTGTTCTAATCGTTTTAATCGTACGCGCTACAACACAACATTACAACCGTGCTGAGCCCTTAGAATGGCTTAGCCATTAGGTGTTAAATTCTTTGTCTTTTCTGTTAATTAATTTTAAGCATTTAATAATAAATTTTAATTTTATTAGAAGTGCGTGTAATCTGCCGTCAGCTGTTCTTTCGTTTAGTCCCTAGCTTTTTAGTTAATTCTATCACAACGTAGCGTTGGTGTTTTGGTATTACGTTCTAAACAACACATTATGAACAAATAGAATATTTTTAACCTACTAATAAGCGGTGTTGACAGGTAAGCTAGCATAGCACATATGCCAATGGCGCTGACAGAACAGACGAAAAAGGTGCAAGTCTTTCTGCAATTCTTTAAAATTTCTTTCTCGCGTGTATCGTAGTTAACATTCCAGAAATTTCGTTGCGTGTACGTAATCAGACTTATAAATTCCCTTTTATGCATTAATATGATACATATCTTGATTAGACCCATTATCACAGTTAATATGTTGGTAGTAACGTAAAGAATGTCCTGAAATGAGCTATTATGAATTTTTTTTATATAATATAGTCGTTTGTTTCACAGAGTTTTAACTGAATTACGCATGTTACGAACTACTATCCACGTTACATATAACAACGGTTTTAAGTATTATTTAATTTAATAAATAGAAACGAATACTGAATACGAGTGCCAATTGAAAAAAATCCATGCATCGAGAAATTAATACATATTTTTTGTACACATACGTATATGATTTAACAATAATTAGAAAAATATTGACTACACCTGCCAAATATCTTCTAGAACTTAACGCTATTAATTGTTTCATTTTTCTATGCGTAATAAATTACTATTAAATTTTTAGATTATTCGTACAACAGTATAACATGTACGCAATTTCATTTAATACAATTAGATCCATCAAATATACTCACGCCTTTGTATAACCAAGTAAAATAGAAATCTCTCATAATGACGATCGAGGCATCTATTGAATTGAATAGTGTGCACATTAGCTTTATTTTCATCCGACGGTTTTCCGCGCGATTGTCGGATATCCATAAGCCGATGTTCCTCAAGAAAAACATCGAGAAGATGACCGATATGTCCAAATCTTGTTCCGTTTGCATGGTGTCTGATCGACTTCTAAAGCTGTCGCTCACGTATGCTCCAATACATATGAATCATGATAACAGGTGTTGCCTTGATTATTCATTCCTTCTTTCTATGATTCTAATATCGACTTAACACAAAGGGCGTGAAATAAAGGTTTGATTGCTATCTTTAGATATAGACGGATAAATAACAGGTACATTTACGCTGTGATCGATTTCTGTTTCATTATTAACACAGGTCTGTGTTAAATCCTCGAACGTTAGACGTCGTGTTACTTCGTTCTTGTGGCAATTTGCTGATGAAATGGAATTATAAATGGATTAGTTGATTACACCGTTGAATATAGAATATAGAAGGGTACAAAGACAAAAGGTAGATATGGAAGATCTAATTGAACTTACCGGATAGTAGGTGCTATAAGAATAATAAGAAATTTATACAGGATGTTCGGTTATAGGTGTAAAAAAATTTAAGTGGTGATTCTTGAAGCTAAAATAAAATGAAAATCACCGGCTTTGCTTTCTAGTTATTGACAATTAAAAATCAGTCAAAATGCCCCTGCACGCAAGTAAACCTCCTTACACGAAGAAGGAAGGTCAGCCTAAGCAGTGGGGCGCATAGTGACCTTCAATCACAACGACACATGGGCGGCAGCTTACCTCATACAAGTGTAGTGAAGAAGACCATGATATTCAGAGACGTAAACTGTGCTTACAGCAAAATCACACACACATTGCGATTGTCCCGTCCGTGAGTATCCACAACAAAGTCACACACGCATCGCGATTGTCCCGGTCGCGAGTATTTATAATAGAATCGCAACAATAGCACATAGGCGACATTTATACAAGGTTTGCACACGCACTACGATTGTTCTGAACGCGAGAGTATTATACAGGGTGGTTGGTAACTGGTGGTACAAGCGGAAAGGAGGTGATTCTACGCGAAAAAAGAAGTCGAAAATATAGAATAAAAATTTTTCGTTCGAGGCTTTGTTTTCGAGAAAATCGACTTTGAATTTTCGCTCGGTACGCGTGCAACTTTATCACGTCTCGTTATAACGGATCTCACTGTAGATCGTTGTCTCGATTGACGTTATGTTGATAAACACTTCCAATGTGACCGCAGTGTTTTCCTACCTATTTTACTATCCGACTTTTATCGCTATCCACTATCAGTACCTATTAGTCTAGCATCATGTCTACATATAGCAATCGGGAATATACGGACATGTTACTTTCGTTAGGTGCATGTGGTGGTAACGCACCACAGCTGATCATTACAGACACCGGTATCCCAATCGTCGACATCCTGACAAACGTGTTATTCAAAGAGCAGAACGAATCTTTGGCGAATATGGTTCTTTTGAAAAACTTAGACGACATGGTGGTCGT